CCACTGGGATTTGTATTGGAAGGCACCTGGAGCAGGGCACTGCTTCAGTGATAGCTGCAAAACAGTTGTGGTGCACATGTATGAGAGAGCAAAAACTGATTCCTGCCATCTAGTAGATCTCAACGTTGATTACTGGACTTTTTTCAAGGCAATTGCTGCAAATTTAGTATTTAAAAAATAAAATCTCCCTATTTTTTTGAGAAATTATTTGAAAGCAACCAACCATTTTTGAAGGTGATGGAATACATCTGCAGGTCCTGAGGGAACTGCCAGATGAAGTTGTGAAGCCACTATCCATCATATTGGAGAAGTCCTGGCAGTCTGGTGAAGTTCCCGCAGACTGGAAAAAGGGGAACATAACCCCCATTTTTAAAAAGGGAAACAAGGAAGACCCGGGGAACTACAGGCCGGTCAGTCTCACCTCAGTGCCAGGCAAGATCATGGAGCAGATATTCCTAGAAACTACGCTAAGGCACATGGAGAATGAGAAGATGATTGCTGACAACCAGCATGGCTTCACCAAGGGCATATTCTCATATTCAGAGTCTGAATGCACTAAAATACAATTGCTTTCTTTATATTTGTTTTGATAAACATTTTAATTCTGCTTTACTGAGTAGGAAGTGTAGGATCTTCAGAATACTTATTTCTGATGATTGTTGTTAACGGCAAACCTTTAACCAGTTGAGCAGATTTAGTTTGAAGTGCCAAGTCCGTTCTTTTGCTAAATATGTGGGATGTTTCATAATCTAGAGTCTGTGGTTCTGTTGATCCAGGCTCTGGAGAGAATTTTACTTTGGGAGTACGAAGAGGTGTTACAAGGTGAGGATTTAGCAGGTATCCAAGTGATATGCTCAGCCAGGTTATTTTATTTTCTGGATTTAGAAGCTAGAATGTGCAAAACACAAAACGAGTTTGCAGTGGGTTTTAATAGGTCGGGGTTTTTTTCCCTAAGCTAAAGTATAGAAGGTGTGAATTGTTGATGTGAAGAGATAGCAATATTCTATGTCTTCAGCATGGCTTTCTTGGTTGATAGGTTCATTTTTCAGGAAGGACTGAAGGAAGGTGTCTCTGTGTTAGAATTGTAAGGCAATTTTCGTTTTGGCCTGTAAATCTGTGCAAGACATGAACATTAAGTGATAATTTGCATTTAAAATTTAATGGCTGATGTTAGAATTTTTCAAAGATTGTTCAAGTCAGATCTGAGAAGTGGAAAGTCCTCTGTTAATTTCAGTGCAAGTAGCATCATAAAGATAAAAAGCTGTGTCCAGTAAAACATGAAGAAGAAAGTTCTTAAACACTGTGACCTACAGCAAATTGCTGCTTTCTGATAAAAATTCATATGCTTTTTTTTTTTTTTTTTTCAATTGCTGCTTTTCTTTTCTCCCCATCGAGGAGAGTGAAATAGAAAGAATTAATTTGGGTATTTGAGAGACAGAGGAGAAAGTAAAAAATCAGTGAGATTAAACAAATTTATTAAAAGGCAAAAATCGTCCATGATCCTATTGAATTAATAGTGAAAATGGGGTCTCATTTTGTAACCATCTTGGAAGAATGCTGCTACTCTTTTTTATTTATTTATTTATTTTTAAAATCTTTCTGAATATTTTTATTGAGAGGTGTGTTTCAGAAACTTTGACATAGCATGTGTAGCAGGGAGAATTTGAAAAATAAACCTGTGAATTTACTCAGATATACTTCTGTCTTGAGTAGCCTTGATTCTCAACGGTCTTGAAAAGATGAATCGCACAGGCTTATGTACCAAAAAAATTAAGACTTTGAAAATGAAAAAAACAAAAAAAACCCCAAACAAAACCCATCCCCAAACAAACAAAAACTTCCACCTTTTTTACAGTTCACTTGTAACACTTGAGTTAAGTAGTCTCAAAGCTAAGGTTTATAATAAACCAGTACATTTATATTTAAATACACAATATAAAGTTTACTGAATAAAAATAAAAGACCATAATGTATTCATATAGTTAATGGAACTGCCTTGTAAAAAATTAATATCTAGATAACAAGTTAAGTAAGATTAGCCAGTGTAGTCTGAATTATAAATTTTACATTTATGTTGTATATTTTCCAGTGCAGTTTAGGGTGTGAGGAGTGGTATATAAACAACAACAAAATGCTGACTATTTTTTTTTGTCTCCCTGCAGTAGGAGAAGAGATACTGCTATTGCTTTATCTGAAGAATTTTCATTATTGGGGCTTGCATATTTATACATAGACCTAAGTAAACTTACTGTACAGTAACTTCTCTAAGATACTTTTAAGATAATTGGAAAGCAATGCAGAGATCTAGCTTAAGGGTATTTAAGTGAGAGAACATAAATTGATAGTGGCAACCGGACAATGTCATTAGTGACATAGGCCAGCAATGAAGAGAACACAAATGTAGTAGATTTGCTGTACAGGTTAATAAAGACTTTGGTACCTGTACCTATACCCTCTACAGTAGGGCAAACATGGGCAGTGTTTCCCTCACCTCAGACTATAGATATTGGCGTAAAACCTGGGGTGTGATGGGCTGTCAGGGAACCCCATGCACATGGGGGAAGAGGCGGCCGCTTTGCTGGTGAGATTTGTCCTGGCTGGATTGCCACAGTGCCCCTTTTGTTGCTGGTGTGACAGTGGTGCTTCTGTTGGATAGCTGGAGACAGGGCTGTAGGTTGCATTGAGAATACGACCTTTCCTGTAGTGTAGTGTGTGCACAGTCAAAGGACATAAAAGCTTGGCAAGTGGCTAAGTGCTTCAGGTGGTAACTGTTGAAGCAGAGCTGCAAATGCTTCAGCTTTTAAGAACTGTAGGTTTTTGCTACATAAAATTACATAAATCTTAAAATTATATACATGACAATTAAGTTGAATATCAGGATGGGAGAAAATAAAAGTGTTTGAATTGTATTTAAAATTATTGGTAACAGTCTGATGTTAAAACTGCCGGATTTTGTCTGTTGGGCACTTCATTACATTATGAAGGGCAGGATTTGCTTCTTGGTATGTTCAGTAATAAATATCTAGTAGTTGCCAAGTATTGAGTTCGAGATTTCATTTTCCTACAGAAGGCAAATTTTTCAAGTACCTCCACTATAAAATGGCAGAAAATAAAGCTTAAAAAGAGGTTTGGGTTGTCACCTATCCTTGTCCCAATTTTCTACGCCAGAAGGTATATACAAAGACCAGAGCCAAAGTTTGTAAAGCTTTTGGGTGATGGAGAGAGGAGGAGGGTAGGAAGAGCAGGTGATTCTGTGTGAAAACCTGGCCAGTCATATTTTCATACCCCCCTTTTTTTTGATGTGTTTTTTTTTTCCTGTGTGCGTGTGTTACTGTCAGATTTAGAACAGCTACACTCCTGTTGTTTGTCTTAATTTCTTCCTTCAGGGTTCTTCTCTTCTGGTCAGCACTTAAATATTCATCTCATTGACATGATCTGTTGGTTACCACTTCTTAATCTTACTTGGATAAACCCCACTATTCAGCTTAAACCTGTTGTTTTAAAGCTATAGACGGGTTGTCTCTTCCAGATCCAGCTGTGCATGTTGAAGCTGTGTACCTTCTAGCTACTTACCACTACCATGAATGTCCAGTTTGTTTCCAGCTCCATGGAGCAATTATCTTTCAGACAAAACTGGCTGAGGTAGCAGTTTTGTTAGACGGCTTCCTCTTAAGCTAGTGCAAGTGATTTTACTTGAAGTGAATCAGAAAGAACAAAAGCTTTTGGCATAGCTGCAGGCTCGTGACGGGACTATTTTTGGCATAGCTGTTTGCAGAGTGATGGTCTATTTACTGTGTTCTTGGGTGAAAATATTCTGTCATCTTTCTTGAGATTTAGATCTGAATAGAGTGCCAGAAACTGCATTTGTACTGATACAGAGAATTGAGAGCTTGGACACAGTGATAAGTTTTGAGTATTTCAGTTATATAAGTAGCAGTAAAAATTACTCCGTTGCATATTGACTGGTAACAAAAGGAGGACAAGTCCATAAACATCACTTAAATAAGCAAAGAGTACACTTCTGTAGCATGGATAAAGTGTTAAGCATCTGACTTGTTCTTGTAAAGCTAGGTAAAAACAGGTAATAAAATTGCTATGAAAGGCTGTCTGTGTTATATAAGGAAAAAAAAAATTGTCTTTATATTTACTAAACTGAGAATCTTTTTTAGGGCATCCAAGATGGATCTCAAGTGTGCTCTGGAAGAATGTTCAATGGCACTGAACTTATTTCTAAACAATAAGTTCTCTGAAGCCCTGGAACTACTTCGTCCATGGTGAGGTCCTGTTATTTGCTGAAGTTACTGTAAACAGATAGTGTAAAGTATGCTGTCTGATAGCTGAAAATTAATTTAAAGCCTTTGAATATAGTAGTTTTCATTTATTCCCTTTTGTCCAAAAGCATTTCTCAATATCTTTGAGTTTCAGAAGTGCACTTGTTTCTCCTTAAGGCCCTCACAAAAACTTGTTAATGAAGCACTGAGTTGTTCTGTTAGAGCTTATCATTCAAACTGTCTTTCCTCAAGCTGAGGGGAAAAGCAGGGAAGCAAGACCTTATCCAGTGTATTTTTGATCAGAGAATTTTTGACAAGATGACAAGGTTGGAACAAAACTCTGGAATACTCTTTTTGTTGTTTTCTATATTACGTTGGAGTCATGGTAGTGTTTACCCTTAAAGCCGACCTTTTAATGTTCTGACTAATTGTGCCTATTCCCATGTTGCCTTTGCTCCTTTGAGAAGAAAAGGATGGCAGTGCAGGTGTAGGGAGCTAAATACTGTACAATAAGCCTAGTTTACTTGTGACTGCATGGGGAGGCAATCTGAGTGGCTGATCTTTAGGGCTAAGATCTGAATCCCATTCGCTGTTCTTCTGTCTGTCTCTCAAACATGCATATGATCTTGAGCCTGGAGAAGAGAAGGCTCCAGGGAGACCTTATTACGTCTTTCCAGTACCTGAAGGGGTCTACAGGAAAGCTGAGGGGGGACTTTTTACAAGGGCAGGTAGTGATAGAACAAGGGGAAATGGATATAAACTAAAAGACGGGAAGGTTTAGATCAGACATTAGGAAGAAATTATTTACTATGAGGGTGGTCAGACACTGGAACAAGTTGCCCAGGGAATGTATGAATGCCCCCTCCCTGCAAGTGTTCAAGGTCAGGCTGGACGAGGCTTCGAGCAACCTGCTCGAGTGGAAGGTGTCCCTGCTCATGGCATATGGGTTGGAACTAGATGATCTTTAAGGTCCCTTCCAACACAAACCATTCTATGATTCTGATTCTATCTTGAGGGATATGTCTAGCGAGATGGATCTGTAGCTTATGTTAGTAGAGCGACATAAAGTTCTTGTTCTTCAGTTTGGTGATAGTAACACTGAATTAAGAATGATGAATTGCTGTTGTTAGGTTGGTGGAATGGACAGGTGGAAGTACACTCTTAAATGGAACCTTGGGAGGACGACACAGCTATTAAGTGTTTGCTTTTAGTGATACGGAGAGCTTAAGTGTATATGAGGTAGGCAGGAGTAACACCTTTTCAAATTAGCTATATTTACACCCACTCTTCTCTCTTGCAGCTCTCTTCTCTGAACATTGTACAGTGTTACTTGTAATAGAGCAATGCTTTGAGAAGGCCCACCTGCACTTGTGTGTATGCTAAAACTATTTTGGATAGTATTGTAAAACACTGAGTTCTACATGCAAGGATTGTGCATGCATATATTACTAAATACACACATTCATATTACTCACATGTTTTTTTATGTTTCTTACATATATTTAATTTTGTATTGTAAACCAAAAAAAAGTCTTCTTTAATGCAATAGTGTTTTTATGTACAGTAAAGTATATTGCTTTAGTTGATGTTTGCTATGAAGAAAAAGAAATATTCTAAACTCTGTGGTTTTGATGTTTTGAGCTTCTGGCAGCTAATAGACTGAGTTTATTATACAGCATATTCAGCTAATCTGCAAAGGAGGATTTAGCCTAGCAAGGAAACAAGCCACCTTTAAAAAAAGAGAAAGCCCAGTCATTTTACTGAAAAATAGCCTTTTAATGAAAGTTAAAATTAAGTACTTATATAATGTAAAAATTTAGGGAAAGTATTGATATATTTAAGAAATAAAGACTTAGCTCAAGGGTCTGTCTTGACTCTGCTAAAGATTCATGTCTTCAAAACTACATTTGGTGGGTGACTCCATGATTTAGGGAGAAGAAAAAAAGTTGAGGAAACTGGAGAGGATGAAGCAGATGCTAGCAGCATGGCTGGAAGACTAGAACATAGGACTCAATAAAATCTCGAGAGCTGGGTTTGTTTTAGTTTGGCAAAAGGGAGACTTGGGGGTTATTCTAATAGCAGTCTAGAGCTATTGAGGGGAAGCTGCAAGGACAGAGCCTTCCTTCTCCAGAGTGGCAGGTGGTAAAACAAGAGGCAGTGACCACAAGTTGAGGTTTAGAAGGTTCATATTGGACATGAGGAAAAAGTACATTGATAGTATGGTACCAGAGAGATTGCTAGAGGGGTAGGCAGTCTTCATTTTCTTGAACAACTTGAAACTTGGTTAGACAAAACCCGAGTTTGTCTGACATAATGTTGGCAATAGTAGTGCTACTTCTGTTAGGTTTGACTTTATGACCTCCAGTAGCTGCTTTCCAGCAACATTTTTTCTTATTTTATTATGTAATTATGTTGTAGAAGCCAGGCTGGTTCAATGTAGCCTTTTATGCAGGACTGAGCATGTGTTTACTGGCTTTTCTGTGACACAGATGCAGATTTTCGTATCTTGGGATCAAGTAGTGATGTTAGAAGGATATCCTTACTTCTTATGTTAAGTGAAAGCAGACGAACGCGTATTTATGTCAAGGCTTAATTAGCTAAATTAGATAGATACACCAGTGGACTATAAATGGGATATAATTAAGTGCAAATGTTTGTGTAACCCAGTTTGGATATTTTCTGGAACTTGCTGCGGGAGTGTGCTGTGGAAGCAAACATGTAGCACCCAGTGGAAGATGATACTTGCTAGGTTAGGTTATGTTCTCACGTCCATTACTTTCCTGCTTTATAATTCTGGCTTTTCACAAATTAATACAAGTGTCTCAGCATTTAATTTTGTATTGTAATTTAAATTTTTGCTTAAATGCACAAGTTATATATGTTTGCCCTAGGTCTAAAGATAGTATGTACCACGCCCTTGGGTACAGCACTATTTTAGTTATGCAAGCCGCTATGACCTTTGAACAGCAGGATATACAAATGGGAATCTCTACAATGAAGGAGGCTTTGCAAACCTGCCAAAGGTAAGTCCAAGCAACATAAATTTATGAGGCACTTAATCCACTAAGTGTTCTTTGTAAGATAACCCAGCTTTCTGCATGCTTTCAAAGCAGGCTATTGTCAGTATGATAGTGATCTAAATTTAGAAAGGTAGGTAAGTCTCTCTGTCCAATTATTAGTAGTAAGGGTATGTTTCCTAGTATTGCGGAAATGGAAGACTTGTTTGGTCTGAGCATGTATAGCCTCTAAAGTTAGAAGCTGATCGGCTATGTAGACCTACAGGTAAGCAGACAGTACATGATTGAACTGCCTGAGCTATTTCAACCTGTGACTTCTTGTTTTCTATGGGGGTTAAAAATTTAAAAGCTTCATATTGTGAATTTTCCCTTTCATAATGAAATTACTCTTTTTCAAAAAGTTGTTTTCAAAGGTGGACCCAGTAGTCTAGTAGGATTAAGCTTGTACTGAGGTTTCTTCTAAAACCAAGCAATTTTTAAATTGTTGTTACAAATGTAAGTGTTTAGTTACCTTAAATTAAAGGGCTCTTATTCCCAACAAGAATGATCTGAACCTTTTGCTTCAGGTCTTGCTTGGAACAACAATGAAATAGAGTAGAAAACAGAAAGTATTTGTGACTTTTTTTAAATTAAAAAAAAAACCACTTAGAATATGGATTGTCAAGAGATGTTGCTTATGCTGTGTGGGTTTCTCTTCTTCCATGTACAACTGATTTAGATTCAGGAAAAGAAGCACAGTGGTGGAATCCTTGTCCAATCTGGTTTCTAAACAGACAGTGGATCAGTTGAGTGAAGGTAAGTGATTTATAATACAATTAAAGCAACAAAGTGAAAAAAACTCAAAACTATTCTACCAACTTGTACTAATATACTTAACCACCTGTATCATGTTTTGTTTTTTTTAAAAAAAATTGAATGCAAAGCTTCTCAAAATGGGGGATTCAGCCTAATTTATTTTTACTCTGAACATGCATGATCTGAGAAGGGAATGCCTTTCACGACACATTGTAGGACTCAAGAGAGATTTCAGGGTTTGAAATTTTTTGTTTGTTTGTTTGGGTTTTTTTGCTTGAGACAATTCCCAAAAGTTTAAGAGTCATTGATGCTGTGAAATAAGCCCTTATCATTAGTTGCATTGGAATCTGGGTATATTAACAAGTATTGTGCTTGTCTGTTTTGCCTTAAGGTGTTTTGGGAAGTGGTATCTGTACATTGTTCATGGCTCTGAAAATAGTGATCTCCTATTTCTGATTTGGGCAAAATCAAGTATGCATTTTTTTCCTAACCTGAAACAAAAGAATCCTTTTTAATACTGGGCACATCAAACTCACCATGTGTGCACTGTACATAACAGCAGCCTTGTGCACGTGGCTGGTCTTGTAGCATGAGTGCAGAGCAACTCGTGTCGTGTGTGCGAAGTCAGATGTACTTGAGTACTGCATGAGGACAGAAAGTCTGCCTGGGGCTTTCAGTTTGTTGAGCATGACTTGGCAAAAAACAGTTCATAATGTCTTAACGGGACTTGGGAAAAGCCTGAACCACAGTGAGTGTTACACTTCATTTGTGAAAGTTTTTTCTAACACATGGAAGGAGGGTTGGAAGAACTAGTTGCTGTAGGCTGATATTTAAACTTAGGAGCAGTGGAAAGTACGGGAGATCATCCACCAGAATGACAAGTAGCTTTTGCTCTAGGCTGAAGTCACCTCTGTCAAGATCAAAGTTTTTCTCTGAGGAGGAGTGAAATAGAAGACCATTTTTGGTTAGCTTCCCAATTACTACTTCTGTTGGGATTTGTGTGTTACAGCTGTTATTCAGCAGTTACCAAAAGAGCAACAGCAGAATCTTGCTTTTTTTTTTTTCTTTTCTTTTCTTGGTGGCATTTTTTCTTACATTTATCCCAAGAATATTGATAATTTTGATGACAGTAAGTAACTTTTCTTTCTTATATAGAGGAAATGCATGCTGAAATCTGCTATGCTGAATGCTTACTACAGAAAGCAGCTCTCACCTTTGTACAGGTAAAATCAATTGGGGGTTTTTTGTACCTCTGTGTAGTAGTTTAATGGAAAGATGTTAATACTTGTAGAACATTGTAGAAAATAGATATGGTATTTAAAAACCAAGCTTTTTCCTAGAGAATGACTGTTATTTCATGACCGTGATTGAAAGTATGGCAAACGCTGTACTACCCAGCAAAATCCTCTCTTTGTTTATATGAATAATCAAAGATGTTATTGATACCCAGGAACCAAAAACCTAAGGTATATTGAAGTCTTACACAGATGATATGTTTAAAAGACTTGCATTGCACCTAACAGTGTCCAGCACTTGTTTAAAAAGATGTTCAAGTACGAAGAAACATCTTGTTTGAAAGTAGAAGTCCCTTTTCATACAAAAAGGGTAGAATGCTTCTCAAGTAACAAAACTTCAACTGACATATGCTTGTCTCCAATTCAGTATCACTCTCCAAGCACATTTGATGTGGTGTCAGGAACAATATGGTAATAAATGCTTATAAAATGAGCATGCCTTAGTATTGCTGAGGTAATAAAACAGTTCACAGAAAGATTCACTGTTTAATACTGTCTAGTGCTTCTTGTTTAGCTTGTGGTTCACGGACTTCATGCTATGGTGATTTAAAATTCAATTTGAAATTTGATTCCTGAAAACAGGAGTTGTTAGTCATACTAGGGGTTTTTTTACATATGTGAGTGTTTTACAAGTGTTTAATGAATGTATTTTAGATAACCCCTTCAGATACAAATCACAAGGAAGATGCGAGGCACAAAGATATTAAGATGAGATGGACCTGAAAAGTTAATTTGGCAAAGCTTTATAAACCACTTAATACAGTACTTTGGCCAGAAGTGTCAGCAAGTACTAATAGAATGCCAGTCTTTCCTATAACTGACTTTCTCCTTTACTAACCAGATGGAAGCAACTCTCTTTTTTTTTTTTTTTTTTTTTTGTTTTTTTCCCCTCATCTTATGGGTGAGTATTTTTAAGCATGAAGAGAATTTTTAAACAGTGATTGAGGGAGGTGAGTTAAGAACTGTACAAAATGAGGAAAAAGGGTAACCCTAACCCAAACCCTTAATTATGTACTTTCTCTAAAACAACACCTTGCTATCTGTCATGCCAGAGATCCATTGCTGTTGACTCAAAAGCCCTGCTCTACTGATTGCTGTCATACACCATATTTTTCATCCTTGACTGACCTTGATTCATCTGAGGCTGATGATAATGGAAAAAATAACCATTCAGAAAGAGGTAGCAAGAATGCTTGTACTAAAACACTTGCATCTGAGTGTTCGGTTTTTCAGACAGAGCAATAGAGACCTTTTGAAATTTTGACCCTTTATGGAAGCCAGAATTTCCTTTTGTTGATGATTCTGAGGCTTTTTTTGTGCTTTTTCATTTTCCACTTCATATATGCTGTCTCCAAGTCTTCAGACGTGAATTTCTGAAATGTCTGCACGTGTTCCCCTTCTGTGTGAATTCCAAGAGAAAAAATTCTGTCCTGTTGAACTGTTAACCATCTTACATTTCGGGAATTTATTTTTGATGACCGGCACGTTGTATCTTTGATTTTTCTGAAGGTTGATAAGCACGTATGTTGGGTAGTAAATGTGGTTACTGTTGATCGGCAACGAGAATTCATCTGTTTAAGGGATTCTTTGGTTTGTCTTCTGCCAGGTCCCGGGCTCACTTGTGTATGTCAGAATTGGCATTTCAAAACTTTCTAAAAAGTTCCTACAGCACCATCTGGTGGAGACCTTCCTTTTTTCATTTATATACACTGGAAATTCTGTTAAAAGTAACTCTTTGACTTTATTTTCATCCCTTTCTTAAATTTTAAAATTTGTAACCTGCACCAGATAAATGTTTCTCTAACAACTTAAAGCAAGTGTTAACTTCAGTCTTAGAGATTAGTCTAATAACTGAAAAAACATTTTTAATATTTCTAATGATGTAAGTTGTAAATAAATTTAACTGGAGCTGGAAGATTTTTATGTACGTGTTATATGTAATAGCTCAATGCACATTTTTGTACAATTACATTTTTTTCTTCCAGGATGAAAATATGATCAACTTTATCAAAGGTGGCCTCAAAATTAGGACAAGTTACCAAATATACAAGTAAGCAATTAGAAAACACTTAGATTCAATGTTGGTGAAGCAGGTGCAGTTGCATTGATGCCTCCAAAATAAAAAGAAATACTTTTATAGCAATCATAATGATTAATATAATTTCTAACTCATGTTTACCTCTTCCTCCTTTTTTTCTGTATCAAAAGAGAATGTCACCAGGTGCTACAGATGACTCAGGGGAACAAAAGCAAAAATGAAACCTACTACCAGTTTGAAGGAGGAGTAAAACTTGGAATTGGAGCATTCAACTTGGTATGACTTTTTCAAACAACAGAAAGGCCGTTGTAATAATTCTGTAGGATTCTTTTTTTTTGCAGATACAGTACTGTGATCCTGTTTTAAAAATTACACATTTGTAAAAGGGAGAATACAGGCTTTGAAGGCTTTTTGCAGTATGAAAACAGTAGTAGCTTTTTGCATGCATGCCTTCCAGGATCTTTCTTCTAATTAATTCTGAATTATGTTTAATTCTCTTGAACTAATTTACATATGTATTTCTTAAGAGGAAAAGCAGGTACATCTGCTGGTGTGTAGCAGGAATTTTTAAGATACTTGTGCTATTGGTTACAGGATACCTGGAGTGGCTGCTTTTATTCTAACACCCCACATGTGCAATTCTTTTGCTTCAGTGGCATACTGTAGATTGGCATAGATAATGACAAATTCAGAAGAATGAGCAGTAATTTACTGAGTTTGTGCAAAAGAAAACTGGGTACATCCACTTGTGATTTTCTTTACAATTTACTACAGTTGCCTTTTCAAATCTGTCGTGGCAATGGTGAGTGTTGTATTCTGCTGGTATGTTCATTTCTGTGTCAGTTTTGAGTATGGTCAGAAGAACTCAGGTCTATCCGCACCCAAGCGACTGGTAGATGTCTGTGTTCATAAGTGCTCTGACCTTTCCTGCTCTTGGTTAAGTCTCCTCAGTAGGAAGCTTAACAATAGAAGTCTCTGCTGGGCAGAATATATTAGGGTGAATAGAGCTTTCAAACACTAACCTTTCTAGTAATGCTCGTCGAAAAGGTGGTTTTTATCTTCATAAGTTTTCTTTTGTGTAGGATGTGGAGAATGCCCTTACAGGGGGAACAAAAAATTTCTAAAACAAATATGCTTGCTGATCTGATAATTCAGTGCTCCCACAATAAGAACAAACAGAACTTTTGTGATACCATTGTGTCATTTGATTATGAGTAAAGGAAGATGACAATTGTAGGCTGTAAGTACTACCAAAATAGATAATACTTTCATTCCAAATGACCCACAATTTTTAAACAATTCTGATCAGCTGAAGACAGAAAAATCTGTTATTATCTGAAGAAGCACAGCTGGACTCTGTCGTGCTGTTTGCATGCAGGATGATCATCACAAGTCTGAGTTTCCCTGAAGCTGTAGACTGATGGTATATTGTTGTTCATGCATGTCTATTTTTGGGTTCTTTTGTGTTTTACTTTTTCACTTATGTGTAATGACATTTAACATAGTAGCTGCTGTTTTGGGCTCAAGTTTATATTGTTTTACTGTTGTTTTTTTTAAATTCATATGAATTTTTATTTATCTTAATTTTGTTTTAAATGTATTTCAGATGCTGTCGCTTTTACCTGGAAGGATCCTTCGACTTTTAGAATTTATTGGATTTTCTGGCAATAGGGTATTGGATCTGATTTCTCTCTCTCTCTCTCTCTTTTTTTTTTCTTTCCCCCAAATTAGTCTTTTCTCAGATAAAGACTGGATGGATTTAGCATCATATATTTCACACTAAAAGTAAAGTGACCTATATTGTTTATCAGTATTTTAGTGATATTAAAAAGATGTGAAGTGAGCTAGATAATGCAGGCATAAAAGCACATACGGTGATATCCTGATCTTGAACAACTGTGGGAAATGACCAACAACTGTGGGAAAAGTCTGCTTCAGAGGGGGTTTTTAAATTGCTCTTTCCTTTCCTTTTGCTGGTCCTTAAGGAGAGGATATCAGCTTTCTTTTCTAGCCTATACAGGCAGAAATTAATGTTCCTCATACGAGTAATTGAGAGTCAGAGTTCTACATTTTTTCCATGCACAATTCCACTCTATTTCTGTGGGAGAAGGAATTTTTGAATATCATGTGTCACTGTGGAATCTCAGTACACATCCTTTTCTTATGGATAAGGAAAGTATTTATGATCATAGCCTTGTTTTTGTAAGCCTAGCTGTGTTTTGTGAGTATCTTACAGCTTTTAAAGTCTTATTGCCACCCATAAGAAATAATTTTTAAAAAACCCCAAACCCCAAAACCCCAAAAAAGCAACACACAGAATTATGCATAACTAAACTTCAAGTTATTAATGAAACAGTCACCATATCACAGAATCACAGAATGTTGGGGA